CAACTTAAACATATCAAAACCTTTGCTTCTTATGATACTTTTAGTTTTACGGGTTAAGTGTGTCAGCTCTAATGCACATTAGAGATATGTTTTTTGAGTAATGGAAGACATGAAAATTTTCTCCTTCACAGTTCCTATGTCTCGAACCATAACAGTGCCTTTGCATTGAAGCAAGTCAGCCATTTTATTTGCCATGCATTGATAAAAACTTTTCTTCACATCCAGAGAAAATTATTTACAGGTTTCTATTATTGCACATGCAATGGTCATCTCACTTTGATGCAAAGGCACAGGTACCTTTCAAGATTTTACAGGAAACCATAGACTATTCTTTTGACTACAAAATCATTGCTGAATTAACACAAACATTACAAACACACTTACCTTTGCCGGACACAGTTAGCACATCGTGATCCACCATAAGCTCTAGAAACATTTTTTTGACGTTTAGAGATTTTGTGCAATTGTTTTGGTCGAAGAGCTGGGAGCTACAAGAAATAAACCAATGTTACGATGACAAATTTAAATGCTGACCTAAACAGTGTCTTGTATACTGAGTCTTACCCCCTGGAGCCTTGTTTTGCAGTCTCCGCATTTAGGGACTTTACCATTCTTTTTGGTGTAAAGGTAGACAAGTCGACCACCTTAGAAATAATTATTATCATAAGAATATAATAAAATAGGTTTATACTGAAGCTTGCCCTGCTGGGTCTTAGCATGACATAAATATACAGTATCAGTTAATGTATCGACCTAATGATGTGTGTAACTTAATTTCTTGCATGTAGTCCATGAGAACATTATGTCATCAATCAACATTTATGGATTAAAATAAGTTTGTCCAACTGAATAAAATCTATCAAATTCAGTAAATTCAGACTATGCTTCCTCGTCTGCACTAATAATTTCAAATGAAAAAAGTTTGCATAACAAAACTTTTCCACCACAGTTTAGCCTCTGATATCAAACTGGCTAAATTTGACAAGCTACAGGGGGAAATCTGTTGCAGCAGTG